ATCTCAGGAACCACAGTTGGAGGGGCGATAGGCTTTGCATTCTCTGGCACCACTGTTTGGATTCCAGGGATTAAACTCAAGTTCTCAGGCTTAGCCATAGGTGCCTCTACCCGCTAAAAAGTTGGAAAAGTAATGGACTTACTTTTTAAATTTTTTTTTTGGTTTTCAATTCTTGGTGAAATTCATTCAATATGTCTTGATCAAAACCACCCCACCTCTAACTATTCCCAGTTCTCACCTGATTTATTCCCACTCTTTCTCTCTCTGCCAAACTCATTGCATTGGATGATTACTCCAGGGCTTGTGCTCTGTTCTGCAGTGTCTTTGATATTCTAGGTGCCACACTCTTAAGGGAAGCTGGCTTTCCCTCTCAGCAGCAATTATATGCCAATAGCTTGCTGGTTAGAAGTGGGACATCTTGCCCACTTCATCTCCTTCACGTTTTTTTTTCTTTTCTGGATTGAACTTCTTCAGGTCTTATGTGTTTTCACAATTGTTTTGAACTCATATGAGCATCTTACCCGTTGCCTTCAGAAAATATTGTTTCTTCAAGTTACCAACTACCTCTGATTTTTACAATCTTTCCTCTTTCTCTTTCACATAGACCCCTGGGTGTTCAGGAGTATTGTATGGTACAGCCATTCTCTTTAGGGTGAGGACTCTCTGAAGTCTTCTGTTTTGTCCATGGTGTTCAGTTGTTATTTGCTTTTCTACTGCAAGAGTTATTGTTCTGAGAAGGGTTGTGTGATGTGATTTTTCTCTCATCTTTCCACCATGAGGTAGCACCTGTGATTTGTGGTGAGATGTGCTGCTTTGGAGTCCACCTAGCGGTGGAGCCTGTTTTTAAATCCAATCTATTACTTAGCCTCATTTTAAAAGAGACACCATATACAGTTGTTAAGTGGGATTTTATTGGGTAAGCAGCTAAAACTTTATTGGGAATCCAAATACTCCACACTGTTGAGTCTGCCCTTGAATTTGCTGGGACACTTTAGATGTCAGTCTCTCATGACTCCAGAGACATTGAAGACTGCAAGTTTACCTCCAGATATCTCAATAATTCTCTTTTCAACAGGATTGAGAAAGGTTCCTACAGACAACCTATGAATATATGGTTCCAAACCTCATCTTCAAATTTAAAGAATTCTGTGAGAACAGTAGAGTTTCTGGTGTTTTCCCTAGCCCTACTGAATGAGGACGAAAGCATTCCAGGAAAGATTATAATAACAAGCATATTATTATTGTTACTATTTTACTTCCCTGTGTATTGTAACCTGGGATACTTCACTGCAGATCAAGATACGAGGATGTGGAGCCAGCCGGTGTCCCAGGAACGCTCAGCTCTAAGTTTTGACTTTGATGAAGGTTTAAGCCCTTTCCTATTCTGAGAAAAAGTTCAATTCACTTCTTTTTGCCAGGCTTTTGAGTCTTGACACCTGGGAAATGACCATGAGGGATCTAGGGTTCATTCCTATGCTAATATCTTGTGCATGTGTACCTGAAGCAGGCCTAAGTTTGCTCTTGTTATCCCTGTGGCTAATTAGAGAGGGATGTAAGGCTTTGAATCATTTGAACACACTTATAAATAAATCTTCTTGTGACTTTTGCACAAGTCGTTTCATTGAAGATTTTCCCACCAGCAGCCTTGCTATAGCATTGGAAAGTTTGGAAGGAGAAAATCCATTTTGTTTTCTTTTTTTCATGTTGTGTTATTTCATTGAGATCTGCCCATCTGGGTTTAAATTGCCAGTTAAATTTCTGTTGTTAGTCTTGTTCTTTAAGTTCAGGTTGCCTCCGTTTTGTTCAATGTATGTATTTGCAGTGTACACAGGCAGACTAAGTTGTGGTACATTTGGGGTCAGGCTTTCATCTATTAAACTGCTGTTCAAAGCACCAGACTCTGAGTCCAGTCCGCTCTTGTTGCTGAGCACTGTTCGCAGCAAGAGTCCCCATCCAGTAGTTAACCCACTCTCATAACTGCAAAGCACATGACTATACAACAGAAACTCATTCGGTACTGATTAGCCTATGGAGTACGGTAAAGGACCCTGATGGTACTGTGCACAGCGATAGATTAGTTATTTTGGCGTGACCAGACAGAAAATAAAGAAAAAGAAGCAGTCTCAGTGAGACTACTAATTAGTATTAGCTGCTGGCTGAGAAGAGGAGTGAGAATTACTGAGGCAAGGGAAAGAACAGGTAGGTGGAATTTGTGGGAGTTTGGTTAGTGGAATACTAAAAAGAGAGGGTGCAGATATGTACCCAGATATCTTAACCAGGCCAGCCTTGGTCTCTGAGGGTGTAACAGTAAGAGGAGTGCACGTAGAAAGAGAAACAAAAAGGAAAATAAGAAATAAGGACTGCGAGGGATGCTATCACCCACTGATACAAGGGGACGGATCTAATGAGAGTTTACCAAGGCCAGTTGGACTGCGACTGAACGAGGACATGATCCAACCAGATTCGCTGAGTGTGGTCGGATTCTCTGAATGTGGCCGGCCCGGAGTCTTTCTGAAAAGCCATTGACAATGACACTGGGACTTGTTTCCTCTGCATATACTGGATTTTGGGGATCCAGTCTGTTTGGATACTCACCTTCCTGAACCTGGAGGGAGGGGGGAGGAACTGGAACTTCCCACAGGGCAGGAAACCCTGACTGCCCTTAGGGACGAAGAGGGAGGAGGAGAGGGAGTGAGGGGAGTGGGAGGGTGTTGGGAAGAGGGGCAGAAATGGAAACTTTTATAATTTAATAAAATTACTTTCAAAAAAAAAAAGAATAAACGAGAGAAATGTGTAAAAGGTATGAGCAGTAGGGGGCAGTATTGGTCTGCTACATTGGCCCAATGATACTATGACTCTGGATAATAAATATTTGTTTCGGTGAGGAAGAGAGCAGGGTGAAGGTGTGAGGTCATGAAATCACTGGCAGATAACTAATAGCTGCAGTAGGGAAAGAGAAGTGGGGGTATAAGGAAATGTGATCATTTGAATGTTTCTTTATCTCTTCGGTCTGTTGTTTCGGTTCTCCCGTCCTGGTTTGATGATATTCTGTATTGACTTTCCCTAGTCCTGTTTCTCTCCTATGAATGCCTAGCTTCCCCTGCATGTAAACTTTCCTTGGCTCTGTTCTGTAAGCTGTAGACAGCCAATACAATCTCTGTCTTACTACACTCCGCACTCCCACGGGGTTGGCAGGAGTGGGGTTTGTGTGGTGCAAAAACCACAGTTAAGAGCTCCTGCTTAAATCATGCAGTGTTGCCTTTCTCCACTGGGGTGCTGAGGGTGGCCCTGGCTGCTGTCTCTGGGTGCCCTTCTGTCAAATTTCTCCCGGAACAGCTATTACAGATATTTCTGGCAGTAGTTGTTTAGAGGCTGCAGCTGTGGTAGTGGTTGCTTTGGGTGTACTTGCAGTGGGAAGTTCAGTCTCATGATAGAGGAAGTTCATGTGTCTGCTTGCAGAAAGGTTTGGTCAGCCCTTGATCAAGTCAATTTGGAGACTTAAGTACTACTTAAGTAGCTGTGGGAGTGATGAGATATACTTTTATAAAGTTAATATCTTTAAGGCTTTGAGAATTTCATGCAATGTGTTTTGAACATATTTATCTCCCAGCTCCTCTTTGGTTCCCCACCTCTCTACTCCCTCAGCTTCATTTTCCTTTTCTCCTTCCCTCAATTTCTCCAGTCCATCCTTCTTTCTTTCCTTTGCATCTTTCCCCCTCCTTCCCTCATCATGTCTGGGTTGTGCTGGATAAACCTCCTAGGTGTGGGTCCTGCCCTGGTGTATGGTCTGGATAAAAGAAGACAAGTAATTCCTATTTGCAGATGGCATGGCAGTATTCATAAGAAATCACAACCTTCCACCAGAAAATTCCTAGAAGCATTCTTTTCATCAAAGTGTCAGGATACAAAATCCACTTGTAAAAATCAGTAGCTTTTCTGTCCACCACCAAATAACACGCTGAGAAAGAGATCATGGAGCCAAGCCTGTCTTTTATATTTCAAACAACCCTTCTTTTGAAAAATCAATTTTAAATCTTAATGCTCTTTCAGGGCTTTGTTTTTCTTTAACTTTATATGTTCTTTGTCTATATATTATGGTTTCTAGTTTTGTGTTTTGTGTTTTTATGGCATTTCTGTGTGTCTGATTGTGTGTGTGTGTGTATATGTTCCTCGAGCTTTTTCTTTGCTTCTTTTTTTCTGTTTCCTCATTTGTTCCTCCTATTCTGTTTTTCATTTCATCTAATTTTATTTTATTAACATTCTTTTTAAGATAGAGAGAAAGAAGGGATTTGGATTCTGGTGAGTGAGTAAGTCGAGGAGGATCTAGTTGGAAGGGAAACCACAATCAGGATATATTGTACGAAAATTTTGTTTTCGGTTTAAAGACCTTCAGTTTGAGATTTCCCTCCATCTAAGAGATAGAAATAAAAGTATCTGTCTTATACTTTCATATACATTAAAGAAATCGTCTATTTTCAGTGTTCTAAATTTAATGAAGTATAGACTATCAGTAAATGTTTCTTAGTTATTTTTACATATAACCCTATGTACTCTATGATAAAGAAGCATAGAAGTAGGAAAGGGTGCCTCACGCCAGCCTATGATTCCTAGTGTGCATAGCTGCATAAAATTTGGAGAGATGCAATTAGCAAAGATGACAGGGTAGGTTTTCCCTCAGCCCTGTTCTGTACTTTTGAAATTTTGGGGAGTGTCCTTAAACCAGATGAGCCTCCCAGAGGAACATTTGGCCCTGTAATGTTCAGGCCTTTTCTCCTAACCACCAGTTCACTGCTTTGACAGACAGCAGAGCAATGTCGTCACCATAGTTAGAAGGTTGCCATGATTCTAGCATATATCTATTTTAAAAAGTTAATAACTTCTGCCCATGTCTAAATGTCATTGTCAATCTCATTTTTCCCTTATTGATTCTCTTTTCTTCTTATAACTCATTCATGTGAAAAAGATTGATATTTCTTCATTTTCCTAGATTAAATGAGCACTTCATTCTTTTAGTACTTATGAGTTCATGAGGCCAAACTGTCCCTGAATATCTGGCCAAGAAAGATCTACAGAGAAGTATTTGACAGGCATCACTCACGACCTGCTTTACGACCTCCAGAGAGAGTACACCACGTCTCTGTGTTTTATCTTCCCTGTGCAGTCCTCTCAGCCCATAGAGCCCATCGCTCATAGATGAACTGGAGACTTCTCTGAGTGAGGAAATAAAAGTGAACATTGGAGCAAATAAAATAGTCACAGCCTCCGAACTGTTTTTCCTAACACCAAATATCTCTGTGTAAGGTAGGTCATGTGGGTCTCCCAGAGACATAACCTTGTTTAGGACTTCTCCAGGTTAGTGCGCTTCCTAAAATGATTGCAATGGAGCTTTTTTTTTTTAAGAAATGAAAATATTGATTTAAATGACTTCTTTTCCTCCCCTGCTCTCTCTTTCACACACATACACACACATACACACACACATACACACACACACATACACACACATACACATGTTAGCAGATATTCTCTTAGTATTTTTCCACTTACACTTGATAATTATTTATTTACTTATTTATCTATTTATTATCTACCTATAACTTTTAATCTCTGTTTGTTCTCTGATTATATTTTTAGATATTGTTGAATTATGTTTTCAAAACAGAGAAAGGGAACTTATGTTAATTAGGAATCTGGGTGGATGGAATGTTTCCTCAGAATCAAGCATCTCTGTCACCGGATCTCTGATTGTTCTTTCTTTCTTTTTTTTTTATTTGCTGTCAAAGGTACCGTGTTTAACGGCATTCAAAAGTTTGTTGCGTATCTTTCATAAAATGTTAGTCTTCTCAGGAGTACAAGTTATGTACATCACCTTGTCCTTTCTTCTTTGTTCTGGTGAGTATATTTTGCTGTACTAGATGAGAATCTTAAACATAATATAAAACAAACAAACAAACAAACAAACAACAACAAAAAACCTCAGGGAGGAAAACCTCTGAAACACCAGAAATGATTGAATGAGCTTGTCTCACTGGGGTTGTAGTCCTTCAACTGGTCATGTTAGGAATGTCTCTAAAGTGACAGCAGTGGATTGTTCTTCTGACTAGTCCACTTGGAGAAGTTTGAAGAGAGCAGTGGGTTAGGACAGGTTGGGCAGGCTTTCAGTCTCTGCTCATTTGTCCTACAGATTGCTAACTAAATCCTGTTGTCAAATGCGAACTTGAGGACAGACTAATATCTTTAAATACGCCATTCTTTGAAGACACAGTTTATTTGACAGCTTTAGACTGTCTTAGCTAATGCCAATTTAGAGGTTGTTTTATCAACTATTAAGTTCAAGATTGGTTTTGAATTACAAAATGAGGCATTTGTGAAACATTGCCCAGAACATTGAAATTACAGGTGATTAATTTTTTTTAGGTTAAGTGAATACTTGAAAGATATTTTGAATTCTGAATTCAGGATATTTCACTTAAGTGTATAAAATTAATATATCCAGGTCTATAAACAAATGGAAGCTGATACTTTTGTATATGAGAGCAGTATAAAAGACAGCTTTTCCAAATATACATATATATCTGTGAATTAGAATTTTCTGGGCTTGCATATATTTTTAATTATTTTAGTTATGACATAAAATTCTCATCTATTCCTTATAGCATTGACAATTCACATAGAAGTGTGCTACATGGAAATGTAGGTACTGCCCACAAAAACCAATAGGAATAAAGTTGTTTTTATACATTTTATCTGTCTTCTCTGTTTTGTTTTCAGAAAGTGCCCTTATAAGAAAAGGAATTTATAGAAAAGTAAGTGACTATCAATTCATCTGGAAATTTAAAAATTAAAATTTTCATTTTTATAAACAGTAATTTAATGTAAAATTTACCAAAGAAAATATACTCTTCAAAAGTTAAAAAATGATATATTTTATTGCAATAAGTTCAAAACAGCAATCCTGATCTGCAAGACAGTTTATTCTTTTTCTTTTTTTTTCTTTTTTTTTGTTTTTTTTTAAGTAAATTTTATTAAATTATAAAAGTTTCCATTTCCGCCCCCCCTCCCAACACCCTCCCACTCCCCCCACTCCCCCTCCTCCTCCCTCTTTGTCCCCCAGGGCAGTCAGGGTTTCCTGCCCTGTGGGAAGTTCCAGTTCCTTCCCCCTCCCTCCAGGTCCAGGAAGGTGAGTGTCCAAACAGACTGGATCCCCAAAATCCAGTATATGTAGAGGAAACAGGTCCCAGTGTCATAGTCAATGGCTTTTCAGAAAGACTTCGGGCCAGCCACAGTCAGAGAATCCGGCCAAATTCCGAGAATCTGGTTAGATCACGTCCTCGTTCAGTCCCAGTCCAACTGGCCTTGGTAAACTCTCATCAGATCCGTTCCCTTGTATCAGTAGGTGATAGCATCCCTCGCAGTACTGATTTCGTTTTTTATGTTCTTCCTCCTTCTGCTCCTCATTTGGACCTCGGGGGTCCGGTGCTCCAATGTGGGTCTCCGACTGTATCGCCGTCCTTCGCCAGATGAAGGATCTATGGTGATAAGCAAAATATACATCAGTATGGTCATGGGCCACGGCCGATTCAGGCACCCTCTCCTCTGTCCAGAGAGCAATCTGGGGGATCTCTCCTTGGACCTGGGATCCCATATATAATCAAGTCTCCTGTAAACCCTAAAATGGCTCCCTTAGTTGAAATATATTCTTCCCTGATCCCATAGTCATCCTTCCTCCCCCCCCCCCTCCCAGGCCACCAAGCTTTCCCCGTTCCTCCCCTACTCCCTTCTCTCTAACCCTCTCCCCTTCCATCGACCCTCCCACCCCCCCATGCACCCGAGGTTACCTGGGACTCTTGTGCAAGACAGTTTATTATTGATACAAGATGTGAGAATGAGTATCTTTTTTTAAAATTTATTTTGCATTCCAACCAGAGTTTCCTCTCCCTTCTCTACTTCCCTTTTCCACCTCCTTTTCATCCCTACCCCCAACCACTCCTCCTCATTCTCCTTTCAAAAGGGGTAAAGCCTCCCATGGGAGTCAGCAAAGCATGGCATATCAGGTCAAGGCAGGACCAACCTCCTCCCTCTCCCATCAAGGCTGGGCAATGCATCCCACTCTAGGGACCAGGTTTCAAAAGAGCCAACATCAGGGACAGGTCCTGGTCCCACTGCTATGGTCCCCAGGAAAGAACAAGCTACACGACTGTCACCCACAGACAGAGGGCCTAGGTTGGTCCCATGCTGACTCCCTAGCTGTTGATCCAGAGTCCATGAACTTCCACAAGTTCAGGTCAGCTGTCTCTGTGGGTTTCCCTCTTTTGATCTTGACCCAGCTTGCTCATATAATCCATCCTCCTTCTTTTCAACTGGACTCCCAGTGCTCAGAACAACTTATTATTGATTCAAGATTCAACAGTGAGTATCTTAATCCCAAAGCCATCCATTGATAATCGGATATATAATTCAATATCTTTACCGCCCAGTGGGGGACAGTTCAGTGCTTAACGTAACATTGAAAACAGTGACTTCCACATAATCACACAGGAGAATGTTATTTTAAAAATAAATGTTAAATTTGAAAATACATATATTGTACTTCTAAATATCAATATATCTGTGACATATATTTCACAAGAATGTTTGAAAAGTAAGTCACATGTGTATAAATTTATAATATTACTTTCTTTGAATAAATTACTGAAGTATCTAAAAGTGAACACGAGTTTTTATGACCAGGAATATTGCCAAGTAAATATGCAAATGTATTGTCATGTAAATATGCTGTAAAGATGTGCATTGAATTGCAGAGAAATTACAGAGGAATTAGAGAATAATCAATAAAAGTTAAATTTGGTGATGGGCTATGAAGGAAATGTCTGTTGGGGAAGCACAGATGTGACATTGTGCGTTGGCTGCCTTACAAGATCATGGTATACCAGCTGTGTTGTGTTCTCATTAGTAGTGGCATCAAACTATAAATGTATATTGTAATAATTATTTTCTCTTGTTTTATATGTGTTATATGTCCTTTATATCTGTGTGTAGATGATATTTAAACTTTTTTGTGTAACATGACATACGAAGAGGAAGAACAGTTAATTCAACAGTCTACGCTCCAATATGTTTATGTTATCTTTGTTTGTTATAGATACAGTGTGCTAAATATTATCGTCTAATAGCTTGTCCCAGAGAATATTCTCCAGTCTGTGGATCCGATGACAATACTTATGCCAACATATGCATTTACTGTATCGCATTCAAGTAAGAATACCATTCTCAATATAATTTCTTCCCAAGTAACAAAGACTTAGCAGCAAAATCTTAGATTTGTGTTATTGATATTCCGTGCTCATAAAATACAGAGAAAAAAGACCCTATCAAACCAATGTGCTATGAAAGGCATAGAAACATGTGTTCCTCACTTTAATATTGTGATTTCTGAAAGTGGCTTTTCTATTTGTGACTTAAGAATAGAATTGTGTTGAACATTGTGCAAACAAGTAAATCAATTAACTTAATTATTAGGAACTCATAATTTCAGATGTACGAACATTATGAAATAATTACAAAGCTGGTGCTCAATAGATCTCCGTCACAGTCTGCAATCTGACAAGCTAGAAAGAGACTCCCTGAAAGCATCGTCTTATCCTCTGAACTCCATGAAAGATTCTACACCACAGGATGCTCTAGGATCCCTCTGTCCAATATCCCTGTCCTTTGTGCTCTGTGATCACATAGCTGTGTCTCATGTATAATTAGTTCTTCTGTTAATTTATTTCAAATGGTTTCAATGGCTTTTCCACTTCACAATCTTCTAATTACCATGTCTTTCTCAAGGCCGACTAACAATCCCTAATCTGGGCAAGTTCCATGACTAAGGCAGAGCTGAGGCAGTAGAAATGGTCCAGTACACCCACAGCAGGACTGTGCAGACGCCGGGAGCAGTCAGGGTTTAGTTGCTCATAAAGGAGAAATTAATGTTTCCAATTCAGTTTTTCCCCTTTGAAATTTCATGGCACAATTCTCAAAAAGTTTGAAGTAATCTTTCTATAATTTCTTCCTACATTTTTTGACCTCTTGTGTTTTTTTCCCTTGCAGATATAGTCGTGGTTATATTGATTTGGCACATTACGGTGAATGTTGAGATTTAATGGAGCTACGTATTCTTGGGGATCCTATCATGATCACAGATTTGCCCTGAATTCTACAGTGGATCAGAGATTTTGTCATCAGTTTCCCATAGCCTTAGAAGATTGGGTGAATCTCTCTGTAGGATACCCAAGCAAGACTAGACTGTCATTGTTCTTTTCATTTCTCAGATCCTCTGATCTCAATGTTTTATTTATATGATGAACTACTTAAGGGCACTTAAATTCCTAAATCTTAATTTTACATTCTGTAAACTAACAACTTAAAATCATCAATACCCAATTTATAGTTCTTAATAAAATCTTAAAGTCTACTCCTTTTCAAGAAATTCATTTGGGGGTTGGAAGAATTGCACAGTGGTTACGGAAATTTGGTGAGTTTGGAGAGAACCCAAGTCTGGTCTCCAGAACCCATGGCAGCTATCTTTTAACATCTGACTTCAAGGGGATCTCATACCATCTTCTGTCTGCCAGGAACACATGCATAGACATGTTATACACACACACATATAATCTAATAAATAAATAAAAATCTTTTACAAACCATGTTCGTTGCTTCTTTAGATAATAAGTAAACCAAACACATGCTTTTGACAAATACATATAGCAAACTTTGAAGCAGAGTGCTGATTTTTGAATAATTTCTGTGGAAATGACATTTTCTGGAAACATCTCCTGCCTCAGGAGTTGAACTTTTGTGTCTTGACCTTGCAAGAAAAGTGACCATATACATCAAGACTATTTAATCTTAAACTGTATTATTCTCCCTCTCTATTTTGTGAAGCTTCCTTGTCCCTGAGTTAGAACTATGTATGAATACATGGTGGGAACTGGTCACCTGAAGCAGCAGCTCCAGAACTGTGGGGTATCCATCAATGAAGACTACAGGCACATGCATTGAAGCCAACAGAAAGTCTTCATTAGCTGGCAGACGACTACACTGGGTATTCCTGCTCCCAGTGTAGCCCTGAACATTTTTCAGGGTGAGCTTTTACCTGAAACTCTTGCTCTGAGTTGGCATACTTCAGCTAAGAAGAGCAGTTAGCCTAAAGCAGAACTATAGAAGCCAAAAAGCAACATTGCTACATTTAGTGGCTTTCCCAGGTCCATGGACTAGGATGGATTAGGTCTTTATTTTAGTCCTGCTATGTTGTGCTGTGTATGTGCTGAGCATTACAGTCTGAAAAGTACTACCATCTTTAAGTCAGTTGTGCTAACGTCTGGGTCCTTGTTACACCATCCTATCTAAGAGCAAGGGATTCTGCAGCATCATTTGTACAAGGCTTCCTGTGTCCAATCAAAACTAGAGTGTCCCTCTCTGATGTCTGTTGTAAGGACAAAGTTTCTGTCTGACACTTTTAAATTTGAAATTCCCATATGCAGATTAAAACTTGAAGTTCAGTCATGATTATTCCAAGCCTGGAAGCTTGGTATGTAGTCCATGACTTAAGAATGTTTGGCTGTACTGGGAGCATCTCTTTTTCTTTTTGACAGGAAGAGTGAAACTTTTGTAGAATATTACTTTTGCTAGGCAAAGGTGTGTTCCATTTGTTTATGCTGCAGAATATTACTCTAAATGTGTGAAGGTGTCTTACATTTGTTTATGCTGCCTTTGTGAACATATAGAATGTTTTCCACTTGTTCATGTTGCATTTGTTTAATTATGTAAAGATGTGTTATGTTTGTTTCACCTTGCCTGCCTAAGGCCCCTGAATGATCTAATAAAGAGCTGAAGGTCAAGAGCTAGGCAGAGGAGGGAAAGGTGGGGCTGGTGGGCAGGGAGAATAAATAGGAAGAGAAATCTAGGCTCGAGATGAAGGAGAAGAAAATGCTGAAGGAGAAATAGAGAAACAGATCTAGAGCTAGAAGAAAGAGAGCTGCCAGCCAGATATGGAGATAGCAGGAAAGTAAGGCATACAGAAAAAAGGTAAACAGCTTCAAAACAAAACATGGATGAAGAGAAACAGTGTAAAATAAGTTATAAGAGTTAGCCAGAAATGAGTAAATGCTAAGGCCAAGCATTCTTAACTAATAATAATTCTCCAAGTCTTGATTTGAAGTTTCTTGGTGGCCCTAAGAAAAGTCTGCTCTAAGACTTCATATTAGCAATATAACCAGAAACTTAGAAATTCTCTCTGGCATACTTAGAAGATTTAGGAGGTAGACAGAATACTATACTGACTTGTCGAATTCTGGGGCAGTACAGAAAATGCTGTCTTCCACATAAGGAGAAGTCTACAGGGTCCTGTGGGTTTACAGCAGTATTTCAGCCCCTGGATAATTGTACTCATATGAGATTTCTCTGGAACAGTTCTGAGGTGACACGGGAAATCTCATGTTTTAGAGCGTCCCTAAGAAAATGGGCAGATACAAAACAGTTTATGTTCAATGCATACTGGGGAAGGAGTGTTTTTGTGGGGGAACTGGAGCCACTTTATAGGTGATTTAAGTAAGATTTAATTATGTGACACTGGCTTGAGTAGCTTTTGCTGTGATCTTATGATGAGAAACAGCAATTATCCTGAAAGAGATGGGCAAAAGCTTTTCTTTCTGGTACTACTGGATAATGATGGTGACTTAGGGAACAGTTAGGTACCCAATAATCCAGCACGAACATCACAGGAGCATCCTTATGAATGGTAAGTCTCACAGCAATGAGATAAATCCACTCTCTTTTTCTCCTAACTAAATTTATATTGCCCTTGTGATCAAATCAATAATCTGAAGGGAAACCGTGGCAGTTGGGTAATTACATCTTGGGTTTTTCCTTGCCTGGCTCTTACTGTTTACCTTGTGAAAAGTTTACCTGAAGCCTGGGTATAAGTTCACAGCCAGGGCCAATTCCTCCATGTAGCTTAAGGATCCTCTAAGGGGTGAGTGTTCACGGTGAAGGTTTGCTCTATAGAGCAAGACTGAAACTCAGAGGTGTTACTGGAACCATCTACTGTGTTTCACCTAGGAAACAGTGGCTGGCTCATTTGAAAAGAAAGGGGAAGAAAAAAGATAATCTGGAGAATTGATTATTTTTCCAGTGAATGTCAAAGCACATACGCTGTCATGGTTCCCAGACAAGAGGCCACCCTTACGATGCAGCCGTGATTTCTATAAAAATTTGCCAAGACCTCATTCTGTTCCTACTCATGAATTCATACACAAAAGTCAAACCCTTGCTTTTCTAAAACAGATGAATCAAAGGGCTTTGGGGGATTGTTTCTTTCTTGAGACCCTGATTCATTTGTGTGAAGGATTGTTTTAATTGACCATCATCCCATTAGTGACCATCATCCCATCATCAGGGCCTCGGACATGAGATAGTATCATAGGATGATTGAGCCTACTCTGAGCTGGGTCTCTGTTTTGCCTGAATTCAGCCATCCGTACAATTGATCAAAGCTGTCTCGTTTTCTTTGGTGGAATTATCGTAATTATGGTTATAAATTGGTGTAGGGATAATAGTTCTGCTACAGGAGTCAAGATGTTTCTCAAGCAATTCTGGATTACGTGGCTTTGTCTGGGAGACTCAACATCTTCAAGAGGCTAGAGAGTTCTGAATTGTGACAATATTGTGGTCTGTACTTTCCATGGTAGGATAACATGGCAACATATCTTATATATATATTGTAGAATGTCTCCCCCAGAAGGTAATTCCCTAAGATCTTTTACTTGTGTGCTAAACCAAAGGTGAGTGCTATCCCTGAGGCTTTGAATAAGGAACGCCCAAGTGTGCTGCTTGTGAAGTTCAGGAATTGAGCCTTCCTATTTTATATTCAACATGTGTCGAGATCAGGGCACAAAGGAATTAGAAAAGAACATATTGAGATCAACACTGTACACCATTTAGTAGACTCATGGCCCCGGGAAGGAAGAGTCCAGGTATTAGCCATTAGAGGATGTAGTAGGATCACGAGGTTATTGACAAATTCAAAGCCCAGCACCTTGTGGCTCTTTTTCATTTGCTGAGTTCATTGGCATGATTTTTTAGTGTTGCAAGGACACTCATGATGTACCAGTAGGCCATACTTAAGAAAGAATTCAATGACAAGTGATTTCCTAATTAAGAGTCTTTTTCTAAAAATATTCATTGCCTTTGACAGTGGGATTATGTATGTAAGTGTGTGCTCATATCCCACACATATGTGTGAAGTTGCCTTTGATTGTATGATTGTGTATGTACGTGGGTGTGCATATGGTGTGGTGCATATGTGGAAGTGAGAGGATAAGTTCTGAGTCATTTTTCTTTTTCCACCGTTTGGGTTCCAGGGATCAAACTCAGGTTCTCAGGCTTAGCAGCAGGTGCTAAAATGTTGGAAAAGTAATAGACTTATGTTTTCAATTTTGTTTGTTATCAACTCTTGGTGATACTCATACACTATGTTTTGATCACATCAACTACTTTCCTAACACTTCCAGTTATCTCCTCTCCCTAGTAACCTGACTTCATTCAATTTCTGTCATTACCACATTTGATTGTTGTGGATTACTCTCGTTCTCATGTAGTGTAGTAGTTGTTTTTTTTATTTTTATTTTTGATTTGAACTCATTTAGGTCTTATGTGTTTTCACAATTGCTTTGAAATCATATGAGCATTTTACCTGTTGCTTTCAGAAAATATTGTTTCTTCAATTTACCAACTTCTTCTGACTTTTGCTATTTTTCCTCTTTCTCTTTCACATAGACCCCTGGGTGTTCAGGAGTGTTGTATGGTACAAACATACCATTTAGGGTGAGGGCTCTCTGAAGTCTTCCATTTTCTTCATGGTGTTCAGTTGTTATTTGCTTTTCTACTGCAATAGATATTGTTCTGACAGAAGTTATATGATATGATTTTCACCAGGAGGTAGCATCTGTGGTTTTTGGTGAGATGTGTTATTTTGGATGTTACCAAAGGCTGGAGCCTGTTTTCTAATGCTATCTGTTACTTAGACTCATTTTAAAAGAGACACTTTATACATCTATTAAGTGGGATTTTATTGGGCAAGAAGGTTTAATTTTCCTGGGAATCCAAACACTCCACACTGTTGAGTCTGCTCTTGAATTTGCTGGGACACTTTAGATATCAGTCTCTCATGACTCCAGAGACATTGACGATTGCGAGTTTGCCTCCAGATATCTCAATAATTCTCTTTTCAACAGAATTGAGAAAGGTCCTACCGACAACCTATGAAGGTATGGTTCCAAACCTGATCTTCAATTATAAATTAAACTTTGAGAACAATTATTGTTCTTGGATGTTTTTTCTTGCTCTACTAACTCAAGAAGAAAACATTCCAGGAAAGATTAAAATAACAAACGTATTATTATTGTTGCTATTTTACTTTTCTTTTTATTGTAAC